TGTACTTGAGGATACGGATCACTGCATTCCAATGATCTTCACAAGGAGAATTCAAGAACTGACTTACTACACTGACTGCAAATGAGATATCTGGTCGAGTAACTGTAAGATAGTTCAGCTTCCCAATCAATCTTCTATACCTTTCTGGATATGAAAATAGCTCCCCCTGATTTGGCATAAGCTTGACATTTGGATCCATGGGGGTATTGACGGGCTTAGCATTCAACAAAGTTGTCTCCTCTAAAATGTCCATAGCATATTTCCTCTGGGATATCACAATACCATCCTTGGATTGAGCCACTTCAATTCCCAAGAAATATCGTAGTCTTCCGAGATCCTTTGTCTGAAAATGATGATTGAGATGTTGTTTTAACTAAGTAATGCCTTGATGGTCATCACCTATAATGACAATGTCATCAACATATACCACCAAATAAATAGATCCAGAGTCTGAGTGGCGATAAAAGACTGAGTGATCAGCCGCACTCCGAGTCATACCAAACTGTTGGACAATGGTGCTAAACCTCTCAAACCAAGCTCGTGGAGACTGTTTGAGACCATACAAAGATTTGCGGAGTCGACAAACTAGACTGGACTCCCCCTGAGCAACAAATCCAGGAGGTTGCTCCATATAAACTTCTCCCGCAAGATCACCATTGAGGAAAGCATTTTTGACATCCAATTGATAAATGGGCCAGTGACGGATAGCAGCCATAGTAATAAAGAGGCGAACAGATGCCATTTTTGCCACAGGGGAAAATGTATCCCTATAATCTTCACCAAACACCTGAGTATATCCCTTGGCCACCAAACGTGCTTTGAGACGATCCACCTGTCCATCAGGACCAACCTTGACAGTAAATATCCATCTACATCCAACAACAGATTTTTCAGAGGGAAGAGGAACCAGATCCCAAGTACCACTACCATGAAGTGCACACATCTCGTCAATCATAGCTTGTCACCATCCGGGATGGGATAATGCCTCACCTGTAGTCTTAGGAACAGATACAGAAGACAAAGAAGAAAGACAAGAAAAATGTGATGGAGAAAGGCGATGATAACTCATATTTATTGAATACCTGGGTGGAGAACGAATATTACGAGTACCTTTTCGGAGAACAATGGGTAGGTCAATGTCGGAGGGCGGGACCGAAGCCGCAGGAGTTGATGACGGCAGATCTGAGTCCATAGGAACCTCATCAATGTCTTGGGGTATGGGTGGATGTGACCGACGGTGATAAACCTGGAGAGGAGGATCTGGTGCTGGGACATATGGAGAAGTGACAGTAGGTGGTGGTGGTGTGGAATCTGGTGCAGGCGGTGGTGGTGTGGAATCTGGTGCCGGAACATATTGAATTGGAACATAGGGTAAAGGTAACTGAGTATCAACAGAATCATCGGGAACGGAGGTGGAGCCAAAAAATGGCACAGACTCAAAGAAAGTAACATCTTCCGACACAAAAGAGCGATGGAGACTGGGAGAGTAACACCGATAACCTTTTTGTGTCCGGGTGTAACCGAGGAACACACATTTGTGGGATTTGGCAGACAACTTGTCACGATTGGGACCGAGTTCATGGACAAAACAAGTAGAACCAAAAATACGAAGGGGTAAGGAATGTAAAGGCTGATGAGGAAATAAGATAGAGTATGGTACCTGGTTACCAAGGACAAAGGAAGGCATTCGATTAATGAGACAGCATGCGGTGAGAACAGCATCACCCCAAAAATTGGTAGGAACATGCCCATGGATTAAGAGTGTCCGAGCTGTTTCAATAAGATAACGATTTTTTCTTTCAGCAACCCCGTTTTGTTGGGGGGTGTGCGCACATGATGTGTGGTGAAGAATGCCGTGAGAGGCCATGAATGATTGAAATGGTTGAGACAAATACTCACGAGCATTATCATTACGAAAAGTGCATATAGGAATACCAAATTGAGTAAGAATTTCATGATAAAACGTCTGAAATATGGAGAACAACTGAGAGCGGTTTTTCAGTAAAAATAACCAAGTGTTTCTAGAATAATCGTCAATAAAGGTAACAAAATATCTATAACCCCGAGTTGATTCAGTACGACTGGGTCCCCAAACATCAGAGTGAACCAAACTAAAAGGAGAGGAGGCACGACGATTGACTCTGTTAGGAAAAGAACTGCGAGTATATTTCCTGAATTGACATAATTCACATTGCAAAGTAGACAGCTTGGACAAACGTGGCACCATCTTCTGGAGCTTTGCAAGACTAGGATGACCCAACTGAGCGTGAATAGTGAGAGGAGAATCTAATACAGAATGAGCATGAGAGGAGCTGGAGAGCAGGTAAAGGCCATTGGACTCAAATCCGCCGCCAATTGTCCTCCTCAAATTTTGATCCTGTAAAACAACAGAATTTTGGGTAAAAGAAATGAGACAATCAAGAGAACGTATTAAGCTAATGGAAAGGAGATTAAATGGTGAACCAGGGACATAGAGGACATTATCAATAGTAATGGAGGGAAAAAGATGTACTGTTCCAATCCCATGAGACTGAACCTGGGAACCATTAGCCATAGTGACAGCAGGAAAATAACCAGAGGTAGAAAGAGAGGAAAATAAAGATTTATTACCAGAAATATGATCAGAGGCACCAGAATCAAGAACCCAATGACCAAATGATGAACTTTGAGTGAAACCAGCAACGCTATTACCTGTATGCACAACAGTAGCAGTGGAACCAGTGATCGTGAGCCGAGAAATATCTTGAGGAAGGATAAATGAGCTAGAATCAACCATGGATCAAGAACAATTCGCTGAAACAAAGATGTCGTGAATAGTAATGGAAAGAGGAGAAATGCTTCGGAAGGGCCGCAACGGACTCGAAACCACAAGGTAAGGATCGATCTGAACACGGAAGGAAAGGGTGATCTTGACGATGGAAGCCGAGCGTATGTTTCACGCACGTGAGGGTGCTTCAGTGGGAATTTAGGAGCGGGCCTTGGACAGAAAGAACCGCCTCCTTGTGACGATCACAACTGTGGGTGGCTCGCCGAAAAAAGTGCTTGAAAAGTGATCGGTGGTGGCGGTCAACGGCAGTCAAATGGTGGTCCACGGCGCTGGCAACCTCTGATGACAGTGGGTCTTGCAGCGTTGGGTAGATCGGCTTCTTCTGAGTCCGTTGATGTACTTTTTGATCAAAATGGTCGCCGGAAAAATTTTCTGGTGGAGGACGGTGGTGGCAGACGGTGGTCGGAAACTGACGATGGTGACAGTTTCCGGAAAGATTTTTACTCGGTAGACAGTAGGTCTACCGGAAAGATGCGGATCTTATTAGGCTCCGATACCATGTTGAATATCAAGAATAATGAGATTTATAAGTAATCCGTATGTCTCAACTACACAGCGGAGAGTCTATTATATAACTCAAAAGAAAGAAAATACAAAGAGATATACATGATGTGGGACTTCTATACTACTATTCTAAACTATTATTTACAACAACTATATTAAATATCTCTAACATATTTAATTTTATTGAGTTAATTTGGTTCCAAGGGAATTATAATTTTGGCACCAGGACTTGAGGTTTGGGTTCATTTTGCCACGTAGGGTTCATGACCCTAGGCATCACTTTAGCCCTCTTTTGTTACTAAATACTTTAGAATATACCATGATTTATGTCTCCCTAATATAGTAAATAGAGTATATTCTCACGCCTTCCAGAGCATATGTTGGTCGGACCAGATTTATAGTAAAATCCACGCCACATAAAGTGGAATTAACTTTTGTAACAATTCAGTGCATACTATGTAGTGATGGATAAAGAGGTGTATACCATTTTTATTATTATAAAGTTTATTATAGAGGTTTCAAGTTGAACTTCTGACCCATTTACCTTGAATAGTAGTTATTTGTGAAATGATTTGTAATTGTACTCATAAACAAAAAATGAAGCAATCTAGCAAGCACCTTTATTTCCAAGATTAGATCATCAACATTAGCAAAATTAATTAAGAGATTGGCTTCCTCTCAAACAGTTACAATCTGCTGTGAAACTAATGATAGATTTTCTAAAGTGTGTTTAAAGAAGCAAATCTTCTACTGTTAATAGCATTAGTGCAAAAAGCATGGTGCATTATGGTACTTCCACAGTCCCACATTTGCGTCATTGTTTGAGCACTCCATCATAACCATTCCACGAGGCATAATAACACTTTAACCCATAAAATGTCAATTGTATATCTTTATCAATGTCTCTTCTTTTGCATCCTCGAAACTGCAAGCAAATTCCTTCACTATCATTTAGAAGACAGAGATAACCAATGTGAGCCCCCAAATGATTCTGCACTACTATTAGAAAACATATCATTGAGTTTGAGGCATGTATTCTACTATTCAATATTCATGCTTTAGCCTTATACTAGCCCACAACTCAACTCTTTTTCTTTAGTGCAAACTCATGCAATATATAATCATTTTTCACCCAAAATACATGTCTATGAAACTATATAATATATAATTGTAGCTTCCAAGTTGAATTTGTCACAGGAGAATGGACTACAGGTTGTTATCACCTACCGACTCCTTTTTGTCACCCCACTACACTAGTACCTCAGAGTGACCCATACCCTTATAGTTATACCCTTCCTCAACTATATCCCCCAAAAGTATCTTTCAACCCAAAAAAAATAGGAAAAAAAATAAATTCCCATAAAGCTTAATTGTTTCACTTTTTTTTAATTAATCCAACCCTAATTATTTTTTTTTGAGAGGAGTTGACTTCTCATGGTATCCCTACAAATTCTAACTCTTTCAGTTGGTTATAAAATTAATTTGGAGTGCAGGGACGAATTAAGAATGAAAATATTTAAACTCCTTCCAAAAGTAACATGCGAAGATCGAATTAAAACTATTTTCTTTTCACTTACTCAACTCCCTTAGAATAATTTAACTACCATTGTTTGATATTGTTTCCCTATATATAAAGAGTACTCAGTCTTCATTTCAATGCACCATAATCTCAACCTTAACAACCATGAAAATCCCACTTTTACTCACTCCTTTGGCTCTCTTCCTCCTCTTCTCCCTAGTCCAAGGTCTCAACCCCAAATGTGATGACAAGGACCATGGCTCAACCCTCCAAGTGTTCCATATCTTCAGTCCTTGTTCCCCATTCAGGCCATCAAAGCCAATGTCATGGGAAGAGAGTGTCCTAGAGCTGCAAGCCAAGGACCAAGCCAGGATGCAATACCTGTCTAGCTTGGTTGCTAGGAAATCAGTTGTGCCAATTGCCTCAGGAAGGCAAATTATACAGAGCCCAACATACATAGTGAAGGCCAAGATTGGTACCCCATCTCAGACCCTTCTCATGGCCATGGACACTAGTAATGATGCTGCTTGGGTCCCTTGCACTGCTTGTGTTGGTTGCTCATCAACCACCTTTGCTCCTGCTAAGTCCACCACTTTCAGGAACCTTCCCTGTGGTGCTCCTCAATGCAAGCAGGTTATCATCAAATTATATCTCTTGGAACATCTTTTTCATCTTTCCTACTTCTTTTCCCTCTTTATTAACTAATGATAGTGATTTGAGATTTGCAAATTATTTGAATTGCATAATTAGTAATATTTGAGGTTGTTAAAAAAGAGAGTAAATAATGTTACCTAGAAAACTATTAGTTTCTTGTTTTCATGATACAGAACTATATATAGAAAATAATATTGAAGGGCATCATGTAATGTCTCCATTAGACCACTACAATAACCATATATGTAATGGATGTAGCTGAATATAACTAACATTTACAACAACTCTGTAAATAATATCTGATACAGATCAAAAACAAAATATTTGATAGAAGACTTTAAACAATAATTATTTCCAAATACATTTCTTATGTCGTAGAAGATAAATTTATCTCTTATATATATATAAAAATGTATAAGACTCATATTTTTCTTTCTCTCTTCTCCTAACATGGGTTCACATTTATCTCAATTTCTCTTTCTCTTTCTCTCTTTATCTCCCTATACTTTTATATATATAAAAGATAAAAATTTATTTTTTATGAGAAATATTAAACTTATGTATAGTACAACATAATGTTGGTTCTGTGCAAAAACCATTATTCATAATTGTTTGTAAAGATCCAACAGAATAACTTGCTTGGACAACCCCACCACTTGTCACAGTTGGAACATGGAAGGTTCCACGCGCCGCTTTTCGCGTGGGCTTGACTTGCACATGTCCAATCCAAAAAACTCAAAAGCTTCTTTCATCCTAGTCGGTGACTTAACTTTAGCAGGCAAAAGTTCACGTGACTTGCAAGCTACTTATCATTATTATTAATATTTTTCTTCTTAGGGTGAGAAATAGCAACAGCTCTCATTTCTCAATGTTGTTGTATGCTTTTGAAAATTTTCAGGTAACCAACCCCACTTGCGGTGGAAGCGCGTGCACTTTCAACTTCACCTACGGCAGCTCCACCGTGGCAGCTAACCTGGTCCAAGACACATTGACCCTAGCCACTGACCCAGTTCCAGCCTACACCTTTGGGTGCATTCAGAAGACAACAGGGAACTCGGTACCCCCACAGGGGCTATTAGGCCTGGGCCGAGGCCCATTGTCTCTTTTGGCCCAAACCCAAAAGCTCTACCAATCCACATTCTCTTACTGCTTGCCCAGCTTCAAATCCCTCAACTTCACTGGCTCGCTGAGACTTGGGCCTGTGGCCCAGCCCAAGAGAATCAAGTTTACCCCTCTTCTCAAAAACCCTAGAAGATCATCACTCTACTATGTTAACTTGGTTGCTATTAGGGTTGGCCGGAGAATTGTCGATATCCCTCCGGCGGCATTGGCGTTCAACCCAACTACCGGCGCAGGCACCATTTTTGATTCTGGTAATGTCTTGACATATTCTATTTGTGAAGTACATTTTATTTTACTTTTAAATAGGTCAAATATAAATTTTTATTATCATTCATTAAAGTGGGGTTATGAGACTTCAACTTTGGACATGCATTTTAAATAGCGGAAAATATTTCTGATTTTCTGCAATATATATATATATATATATATGGGATAGGATCCGTTTACAATTTTTTTTTTGCAAATTGCACTAAGTACGACCAGTCGTACACTGCATGATTAAAGTATGACCAATCATACTTAGTGTGGTTTGTAAGAGTTGGTAAACAAAAATATTTGTAAATATAACCTGCCCTTATATATATATATATATATATATATATATATATATATATATATATATATATATATATATATATATATATATAAAAAATTTGAAATTAGACACCTCATATGAGAGACGTTAGATCAAAAAATATCAATGGTATCACGTGCTTACAAATCAGAGTCGTTGATATTTTTTTATATAACGGCTCTCAGATAAGGTATCAAACTTTAAATTTGACACCGGTGTCAAAAGATCCTATCCCTATTTATATATATATATATATATATATATATATATATATATATATATATTGACAACATTTACATAAAAGTGAATTAGTAGATTATGAATAAAAGAGATTAGTACAATTCATTATGAGAGGGTGTGATATATTAATATTTTCTGCAATAAAAATAAAAATAATAAACCCTTTTAAATAAATTGAAAATGCCAACACTTTTTTAATTAATTATTATGCTTGATCATGTGTCATGAAATTATCGTATGCTTTTTTTTATCTAGTTTTATTTTATATATATGTATCCTCACATGAAGACAAAAATGAGGTCAAGTTGAAAACAAAACTTGAGTCAAAATTCAAGTAATTGGACCATGCATCACTTTCATACGTGGTCCACAAGTGTTGTTAGTAAAATCACCGCCAATTTTTTAGATTGAGATCAAATACAATAATAGTCACCCCACAATTTTATTTCTTTTTAGTTTTGTAAAAAAAAAAATGAGAATCATGATGTCAAAAAGAAAGGGGAAAAACTGAAGCACATATCAATAATGGTAATTAAAGAAATCATTATAATTGATATCAAAAAGAGAAATTATTATAATTATGTTACCACAATAAAAATTTCACTAATGCTTTTGTATTTTAATTGGATTTTCATGTTAAATACTACCAGGTACGGTATTCACTCGGCTAGTTGAACCGGCTTACATAGCCGTCCGAAATGAGTTCCGTCGACGAGTTGGCCGGAAACTCACCGTGACAACCCTAGGAGGGTTTGACACATGCTACACTGTCCCAATAGTTGCACCCATAATAACATTCATGTTCTCTGGCTTGAATGTAACACTCCCACCGGAAAACATCCTCATACACAGCACCGCCGGCAGCATCACGTGCTTGGCCATGGCGGCAGCGGCGCCAGATAACGTGAGCTCGGTGTTGAACGTGATAGCCAATATGCAACAACAAAACCACCGTGTGCTTTACGACGTGCCCAACTCGAGGCTTGGCGTTGCTCGTGAGCTTTGCACCTAATAAATTAATGGTTCTTGGTCAAGAATTTTCTTGACTTGTGGGCACAATAAAGTTGTCAAATTGGCATTACAGGTTATTTGGGTATTGGTATTTTATCTGTTTTTTATGGGTTGGGTTTTGGAATTGCTAAGATTTTATTGCTAACTATATAGTAGAAGATAGTGAGCTACCATGTTTAAGGAATTACATTTTGAGTTTCGAAGTTTGAAGCTATATTTGTAGCTTTGTAATGGTGTGTCACGGGTTTATATTTCTTTAGCTATCCCTCATGTCGTTTATTAAAGTTGATTGAATTGATAAGACATTACATTATCGTACAAGTTCACGGGTTACACCATTGTACTATTAGAAGAAAACAAACGGTGCTGTCGGTGCAATTTTTTATGAAAAAATATGTACCATTTTAAAATATATAAATGAGGTTTGCATTTATCATTTAACATGATCACAAAATGTTTTTTTACACATATAACATTTTGTGGGACTCGCATGTTTTGAAGAGAAAAAAATACGGCATGTAAAATGAATCTATATAACATAACACAATCATTTTTCTTACAACATAACTCTTATAAAACCCTATATAAATTTAAATCGTTTTAAGAGAGATAAATATAAAAAGATAAAATTCATACTTTTATTTTTTATTTTTAGTAGGACTTACACCTATATATATATATATATATATATATATATATATATATGTGTAGGGTTTTATAATTCTCATTCAACATGAGAATTCAAATTTTCCTACACACCCTTCGATTTTCGTGCTGACATGGATCCTACATATAATTTTTTCTAACACATGGATCCCACATGTTTTTTATCTCTACAACATGATAATTGAATTCTCATTCAACATAAGAAAATCAAACCTATATATATATATATATATATATATATATATATATATATATATATATATATATATATATATATATATATATATATCGTAAAAACATTTAAATTTATATCTTTTAAAAAATACACATTTTTTTTTTATTTATATAGTAAATTCTTTACCGGTGGTCAGTGGTCACCATACTATTCTGGGCATATACCTGGATAGGCCAACTAAATTTAGGCTCAAAGGACTAAGCTCACTTGATAACGACTAGCGTGTTAACGGGTCGAGCTGAGCCGAGCTGAGCTTTGATTTTAAAAGGTTAAGGTTGTGTTTAAATGTGTCGGTCTTACCAAGCCTGTTACCTGTTATGAATATATTATCGATATGTGGCCTGTCTTATTTACAAAAAAAGAGAGAGCCTGATTTAGCCTGTTAAAAAAAATAAGACAACAAAAATTTATTCAAACAGAATATACAATCAACAAGACTATTAATTCCATAAATATTCATATATTCAATGTATATTCAAATAACATAATATAAAATAAAATCATTCAAAAAATTTATTTAACTAATAAAATAGGGATGAAATAGATTGAGAGGAGAGAGAGCTATTACAAAATGTATAAGAAATATAAATAAAAATTAATATACGAGGCCAGCTTGAGAGGCTCCAAGGCCGAGCTTTTGAATTGGGGACTGAGGTCTTTTTACTAAACGAGTTTTTATACAAGTCCAAGTCTTATTCCAACAATCAATATTAAGCATGTAAGTTCAAGCTTTCACGAGCCGAGCCAAAGACCTGGCTCGTTTATCACCCAATGAGAACCTAATGGCCTCTCCACCGAACAACACTGTGAGATTATACTCGTGATCCTTTCTCATTCTCTGATATCCACTATTACCCCTGGGTGAATTGTACTAAGCCCACTATCACCATAATAACTGCACCCAGGGCTTATATAAATGCATCTACGGTTTTCAAGGGAGGACACTTCATACGCGATGCATTCTACCTTACTCACCAAGCCTTACTCCGTTCATTGTATCATACACTTAGCCAAATAACATTGCAATCACCATACTCAGAGCATTCATCATTACCCTCGATCGGTATTAACATTATATTGTAAATTGGTGTTCACTCCGAACATATACATGTACTGAATTTTAAATGAAACAATCTTCTATTTTATCTTTAAAGCTTTCGTTCAAAAAAAAAATAAAGAGGTTACATTTATAATTTCATCTCATATTTGTTTTGCGCAATTAGGTATATTTCTAGTTGTTTTGTTCATAGTTAATTGAATTAATGAAACGTTAGATTATCGTACGAGGTCTTGGGTTATATTATTGTCATATCAAAAAATTATAAGATTCACCGTTTACGTTATGCATATTTTTTAATTGAATTTGTAGACAACAACCATCCATCCAAGATTGTGTCTTGGGCAATTCCCTCCAAAATCCACCACCGATCGACCACTCCCCCTCCAAAAAAGAAAAAGGGAAAAAGAACACGAATTAATTAAAGTATTCTAACGAATACAAACTTTCCTCTCCTTGCTCTGCAATCTAAATCTACCATGGTTGACATAAATATCAAAAAATTCCATTAAACTTATATGCACCCGTTGTTATTCAAGTGTGATGAGTCTCACATTAGTTAGTAATAGATTAAGTGAAGTGGATATAAGTGGAAGGACCCATAAACCCAATGCTTTAAGATTTTGGATTGAGACGTAGTGTCGGATCCACTTTGTATAGTTGGTCAAGTCTTAATTCATTGATGATACTCCTCTGCCATAAGATTCCCATGGACCCATCTGCCAATGGTATCAGAGCCAGGTTGGGCTTAAGTTAGCCATATATTTGTTAGGTATGACTCATACTTCGCATATTGATGAGAGCCCTTATCGGAACCTCCTCGACGTGGGAGCGGGGCCCCGGGGAGGCCTGCCCCTTGACCCCGTAAAAGCCTGGTACTGTTGTGGACTTCTGAGTTATTTTAATTTTATTTTTTCTTAGTAGTTTGGGCTTGGGCCATGAGTAGCTGTTGTTAGGGTTTACTAAATCTTGTTTATATTTCCTTGTAAAACAAGTGACTTGTAACGAGTTGCAGTAAGGTGAACATAGTACAGACAAGTTAGACGTAGCTTACATTGGGTGAATCAGGATATAAATCACTGTATCAAATCTCTCTTCCCTTTATCTTTTGTTTTTCGATTTATGTGAGTGTCGATTTCCAATAATGTTTAGCTAGGAGGCAGGTTGAGTACTTTGGCCCTGGGAACTAAGTTGAGGAGGAGTGTACCAATGGTGAGTTTCACACTTGAAGGGGAGAATGTTGAGATATTCAAGTGTGATGAGTCTCACATTGGTTGGTAATAAGCTAAGTGAAATGCATATAAGTGGATGGACTTATGAACCCCATGCCTTAAGATTTTGGGTTTAAACATGGTGTCGGATCTACTTGGTGCACTTGGTCTAGCTTAGCCTATTGGTGGTGATCCCCCACCACGGGCTCCTCTTGGACCCGTCTGACAATAGTATCAAAGCCGGGTTGGGCTCGAACTAGCCAAAGGTTTGGCTAGGAGGCGGGTTGAGTACTTTGGCCCTGCTACTCGGTTGAGGGGGAGCGTACTAATGGTGAGTTTCACATTTGAGGGGGAGAATGATAAGATATTCAAGTGTGATGAGTCCCGTATTGGTTGGTAATTGGCTAAGTGTAGTGGATACAAGTGGATGAATCCATAAACTCAATGCCTTAAGGTTTTAGGTTGAGATATGGTATCAGACTCACTTGCTACGATTGGAGTAGCTTAGCCCATTTGTTGTAGTCTCCTACCACGGGCTCTCCCTGGACACGCCTGAAAGTCAACCGAGTACCCTAGGGCCAAAGTACTCAACCTGCCTCTAGCTAATCACCAGGCTAGCTCAAGCTCAACCTAACTCTGATACCAATGTCAGGCGAGTCCAGGGGAAGCCTGTGGTAGTGGACCCCCCACCAATGGGCTAAGACTTGACCAACTACACTAAGTGAATTCGACACCACGTCTTAACCTAAAACCTTAAGACATTTGGATTATGAGTCCTTCCACTTATATCCACTTTATTTAGCCCATTACCAACCAATTTGGGACTCATCACACTTGAATAACCCAATAATCTCCCCCTTCAACTGTGAAACCCAAAATTGATATGTTCCCCCTCAACCGAGTACCTTAGGACCAAAGTACTTAACTCGCCTCCTAGCCAATCACCAGGCTAGCTCAAGCCTAACCTATCTCTGGTACCACGGTCAAGCGGATCTAGGAGAAGCTCGTGGTGGGGGACCACCACCTATGAGCTAAGTTAGACCAAATGCACTAAATGTGTCCGACACCATATCATAACCCAAAACCTTAAGGTATTGAGTTAATAGATCCATCCACTTGTATATTTTTCACTTAGCCCATTACCAACTAATGTGAGACTCATCACACTTGAATAATCTAGCTGTCAAAGTACTCAACCCGCCTCTAGCCAATCACCAGGCTAGACCGATCCTAACCCGGCTCTGATACCACTGTCAGGCAGGGGGATCACCACCAATGGGCTAAGCTAGACCAGTCACACCAAGTGAATCTGACCCATGTCTCAACCCAAAACCTTTAGGCATTGTATTCAAGGGTCCATCCACTTATATCCACTTTACTTAACCCATTACAAATCAATGTGAAACTCATCACACTTGAATATCTTAACACATCCATTACATATAACGAAAATACATTTCTCCTGTTGTTGGAGAAGTGTACCTGCTTCTGTCTTACATCGAATTTTGTGCCTCTATTTTATTTTATTTTAAATATAGGCCCCATCGTTTTCCCTCTCGGTAGGAAATAGGAAATTTCTCCTGGAACATGAGAAGTTATAACCCCTTACATTTAAATGCATAAATTCAAGGGAAATGCATAAACTTCCAGAAGTTCAAAAAATTTAGTTAAATAGTATTTTTTTTAATATATTTATATATATATGAGATAAGATCATTTGACACCAGTGTCAAATTTTAAAATTTAACATCAAATTCTAACAGTTGATTGACAGAAATTAACGGTTAAGATCTGGTGTCAAATTTCTAAATTTGACACCGGTGTCAAAGGATCTGTCTATATATA